CCCCCCCCCCCCCCCGGTTGCTTTAGAAATTCATCGAGATGATCGGCGTCACTCAGGGGCAGATGACCGTGCTGAGGCTGATCGAACTGCTGGACAGGGGGAGGCGGCTGCCCAGCCCCAAGGAGTGTCCTTGCGAGGTGAGTCCTGCATTTGAAGAAGAAGAAGAGATTGGATTTATACCCCACCCTTCGCTCGGAGTCTCAGAGCGGCTTACAAACTCCTTTGCCTTCCCCTCCCCACAACAGGCACGCCTGTGAGGTGGGTGGGGCTGAGAGAGCTCTTTCAAGGACTGCCCTTGACAGAACAGCTCTGAGAGAACGTGTGACTGACCCAAGGTCACCCCAGCAGCTGCAAGTGGAGGAGTGGGCAATCAAACCCGGTTCTCCTAGATTAGAGTCCGCGCACTTAACCACCACAGCAAACTGGCTGTGCCATGTGCAGATCTGCAGGCCAAGAACTTCCAGTGTGGTGTAGTGGTTAAGTGGGTGGACTCTAATCTGGGAGAACCGGGTTTGATTCCCCACTCCTCCACTTGCACCTGGCTGGATGACCTTGGGCAAGCCGTAGTTCTGAAAGGAGCTGCCCTTGGAAGGGCGGTCCTCTCAGAGCTCTCTCAGCCCCACCTTCCTCACAGGGTGTCATCCTCTAGGTTGAATACCTGGAGCTTTGGGGAGTGGAGCCTTGGGGGAGGGGAGGGCTCAGGGAGGAAGGAGGCACCACAGCAAGGTGTGCTGCCACAGCGTCCACCCCACCTAAGCAGCCATTTTCTCCAAGGGAGCTGATCTCTGTCATCTGGAGAGCCGTTATAATAGCCAGAGGTCTCCAGGTGGCACCTGGAAGTTGGCAACCCCACATAATTGTGCCTATGGCCGACCTGTGTATTGAGGGATGGTAGTGGACCCTGAAACGAGGGCTGCATCATTCACCAAGACTGAAAAAAAGGCAAGGCCAGTTGCTTGCGGTGCAGTGGGGAAGTGAGAATTTATTATATGGATATCCGATCGGCTCCGACAGATCTTGCACGCAGCTTCATCAGGGGGGATCCCCTAATATGCCTGTCTCTGCCATTTCCCCCACAGCTGTGGAACCCACAGAGATTCTTTCTCGGCGAGTTCAGCGGCTCTGGGGAAAGCACTTGAGGCAGGGGTCATTTCCTAGAAAAAGAGGTGCAGGGGCTCATTTGCATAACTCATTTGCATATGCCACACCCCCTGACAAATCGGGCAGGGAACCCAGGCATTTAAATCCTCCCTCCCTGAGTGTTGCAGGGGTGGGGCCTGGGCTCCTCACTGCCAGAGCGCCGCTCCGGGGCGCTCCAGCAGGAAATGACCCCTGACTGGATGAAGCTGCATGCGAAAGCTGTTGGGGCTTTCCATATAATAAATACGAGCCTCTCCACCTACTCCGGTCAGGCAGGCAACGGCCTTCTGTACCAATTGGCATTTTGGGGTTGTCTTCAAGGGCCAGCCCCACACAGAGCGCATTACGTAGTCCAGCATCAGCGTTACAGAAGCTGGAATCAGCACAGCTGAATCGGCTAAGCGGAAGTCACAGACCTGCATGTCACGATGACCTAGTCTGTTTTATTTTTCAGTCGTGTCTATTAAACATGTACTCAGCCGCCCTGCAGACTGCTCAGAAGGGGTTCCATAGATGTTCCGAGACCCCTTTAAAGGCGGCTGACTGGGCCAGATTTGTTCAGTTTCAGCAGAGCCACCCTGCCTGTCTTTCTTTCATCCCCGTGTGTCCCGTCCTCCTCCTTCACTCCTGCCCTCTTTCCCCCAGATCTACCGCCTGATGAAAAACTGCTGGGAATCGGAAGCCTCCTTCCGCCCCGCCTTCGCCAACCTCGTGCCCATCCTCAAGGCCTTCCACGAGAAGTACCGCGCCCAGGCGCCCTCGGTCTTCAGCGTCTGTTGAGCGGGAGGGTGGAGACCCTTCCCCAGAGCCTACGCTCTCATTTGCACTCAGTGTCCCGATGCCGTCTCCGCATCTGGAAAGCCACGGTGCCGCGGAAGCCGCTTTGGCGTGACCGGCCTGCCTTGGGGACGCCGCCTTCCGACACTCGACCTCCGGAACTGATGCCAAACGTCCCTGCCTTGGCGGAGGGGGGCCGGTCCCCCTCCCACCAAATGTGAAACTGCTTGAGAAACTGCTTGAGCCCACCCAATTTCTCCTTTGCTCCAAACAAAGGCAGATGCGGGTCACGAGACAATGCCTGCTGTCGTACACAACGCTTACCTGAGCTGACTTGCACTATACCTTCATGGACCTCTGGGCCCGTCAGTCAGTCTAGTGTGGACTAAGTGAGCGGCTTGGGTCGGAAGGACGCCGGGTCCTGCCGTGTTAGGGAAGTCAAGACTGCGGGGGAAACAGCTGTGTTGGAGTGGATGTGCGAGGCATAGAATACTTAGGGCTACATCTACTTGCCAGCCAGAGGGAACACCACCTGGCTGTTTCCTTTTCCCTGCAACACCTTTCTAAGGAAATACTTGTGTGTTATTCTACCCCCCACCCCGCCCGAGACCCTGCCTTTAATCTACGTTCAAAGCCAATGCTTTGGATGCCCAAAGATATGTGAACTCGCCTTTCTTTCCCATTCCCCTAGTTCCTGGGTATTTAACAACCGCTGGACCGTCTACATTTCTCCGATGCCACGCACCTCTGCCTGCGGCAAGTTCATTTTGCCTCCAGTCCTTGTCTACCCACAAAGAGGGTCGAGGGGACTGGACTCCGAGGGAATGCCTGTATGGAATGTCTGGCAGTAAAAGTTGGTGCATCTTCATGGAGAGGCCTTGGGTTTGCTCCCCAAGAACAGATCCCGCCTGCCTCCCTGATGGCTTTGAGACGGCTTGCGATCGCAGCAACCTGTCGTCTGCGAATGTGCTCGGAGGTCCACCGTGCACCACGTTCATTTGGAATAATTAAAGTCTCTCTTCCTTTCCTTCCTTTTGCTGTTGCTGACCAGAAAAATGTGAATTTGAAGGAGGAATGGGGGTGGGGGGCAGTGGTGGAAAGGAAACGGTGGGCCGGTAAATCCTACTGAAACTGCAGAACGAGCAAAGCTTTGCAGCGACTGCCCTGGTTGCTACTACCCATTAACCAAGCCTGAGTAGCAACCGTGCCCCCTGCTGGCCAGCCGGCACCCTGGCGAAACCAGCGGCTGCGTATACCTCTGAGGAAGGGACGTCTTGCCATTCGGGGGCCTTTTTTTGCATTTGAAACCACAGGAACTTTTTGTTTCCCGTTTCTGGGCCCCGTCTCCACCCTTGCGAGACTCACATTGGACACTCAGTTCTGTTTCCATGGATGTGTGCTTTGGATTCTGTCGGAGGCCGCAGACCTGTAAGACGGCCGTGTTCGACGGAGCACTGCAAAGCCAGTTCACGTCAGCTGCCTCCAGCGCTGATGGGTCCCCTGCAGTGTTCCCTCTAAGCTGAGTTAGTGTGAGCTAGCTCACAGTTTTTCAGCCTCCAGCTCACACATTTTTGTCTTAGCTCAGGAAGGATGGCTCCAGACCAAACTAATTTATGCAGTAGCCAAATCACTTGCTCACAACTTTAAGGCCAGTTGCTCACAAAGTAGGATTTCTGCTCACAAGACTCCACAGCTTAGAGGGAACATTGGTCCCCTGCTACCCTGTGTTCTTCGGAGCACGTGATTCTCTTTCTAGCAGCGGGATTCGTCCTGTGTGCGTTGGTCTGACCTGACTCTTGAGGACATTGAACTTTGTCCCAGGTCGCTCCTCCTTTCGATGGGGCGGGGGGGGGCACAGCTCTCCAGAGACTTGTCTCTCAGGTGACTTATTCCACCAAGGGAGGCCTCAAGAGGTTCCGATTGCACTTCATCCCTATCGCAGTGGCTGGCGGCGATTGTTTTCCCCGAGCGGATAGAAAAGGGTGGGGAGTAGGGATTGGTAAAAAAGACATTCCCCACCCACCCCCTTCACGTATCACTAGCGGAAGAGGTGAATGGCCTCAATGCAGCCATCGATCCTCCAGCCTTTTCCTATCATTCCAGAGCTCCACAGACCAGAAGCAGCCCTCCTCCTACTCCCAAGTAGCCCCTCAGTGGAATGCTATTTGGAGGACGGGGGGGGGGGGGCAAAGGGGCCCCCCGGTTTTACACCCCTTAAAAATTCACAGAGTCCAGGACTTTGGAACTCGGCACGCGGCTCTGAGTACCAGATGTTTTATGGCGGGGGAGGGGGTGTCTTTAAAATCCCTAGCGCTGGGCATTAAATTTCTCAGCCGTTCTCGTAACCTCTGACCAGTGGAAGATAAGAAGAAGAGACGAGATTGGGTTTATACCCCGCCCTTTGCTACCCAAAGGTGTCTCAGAGCGGCTTACAAACTCCTCTGCCTTCCCCTCCCCACAACAGACACCCTGGGAGGTAAAAGAAGAAGAGGAGGAGATTGGATTTATACCCCGCCCTTCACTACCCCCAAAGGAGTCTCAGAGCGGCTGACAAACTCCTTTCCCTTCCCCTCCCCACAACAGACACCCTGGGAGGTCGGTGGGGCCGAGAGAGCTCTGACAGAAATTGCTTTTTTCAAGGACAGCTCTGAGAGAACTATGGCTTGCCCAAGGTCATCCAGCCAGGTGCAAGTGGAGGAGTGGGCAATCAAACCCGGTTCTCCCAGATTAGAGTCCACACACTTCACCCTGACACCAAACTGGCTCAGACTTCCGTCCTTTGGCACTGTCTGGATTTGGAACGGTGCAGGCGCAGCTAGCCGCCCAAAAGATTTCTGAGATGTGGTTGGCAGACAGACCCCACGACGGCTGGTCCAGGCCCCGTGCACGAGCTCGAACGGCTTGATAGATCCCGCCCCTGCTCTTTTTGCCATGAAAGTGGGGTGGGGGTGGCTCTCCGGTCAGTGGGGACCCCTTTTGCATGAGAGAGGTGTTTACAGAATGCTTAAGTCGCTGCTGTTGTTTTGGAAGCTGCAGCCCCAACGTTTCGTTGGCTTGTGCCACTGGCCTTAGAATCTCTCCTCCTACCACCCTGATTCCACCCCCCCCAAAAAAAAAAAATACAAGAGGCCCCTGTACGTTCCTTTTCAGTTCCATAGCTGCATTGCAAGAGCTTGGCTCAGGAGTATGGAGCAATGCCACCACCTTCTTCGGCGGCCCGTTTCCTTTTGGCTTTCAGAAGTTGACTTGGAGCGCTTCACAGCCCTGTGCCTTTTCTGTCCAGAGTTGCACTGAAGAACCGTCAAAGCCAAGGGCTTCCCCTCCCCTCCACAGAAGTGTGGGCAAGCTTCAGCCACAGCCTCCCTCCCTTCCTCTGTGTTTGTTTTGGGCCTGGGTGTGTGCGTGCATGCGTGTGCGTGCACAGAGAGAGGGAATTCTTGTGTCTGAAACCTTTCTGTACTGTGAAGGTACTCTTAAATACTGGTCTAGCAGCAGCTAGAGCCGCCGGCCACGTGTAATCTCCCGGTAACGATCCTTACATTTTCCTTCAAGTAAACCCGGAACTGTTAACAACTCTCAATTCTGTAGGTTACTTCTGTGAAAGCTGTTGACAGTAGAGAACGGTCTGCAGTCATAGAATTGTAGGGTGAGGTTGGCAACCATATGTACGTGTTTTGGCTGGCGCGTGGCTATTCTACATCCTGTCTTCGGCAGCCACCCACACATTTCATTTTGATTGTGGGACAGTTGCTTACCGAGACACATTGGAATTTCACTTTGCATTTAAAAAATTGGAATTTTACCGTACCCCAGAATAGAATTAGTGTCGTTTCCCCCCGCCCCCCAGCTGCTGCCAGAATCCCTTGGGTATTTGCTCTACAGTAATTACTTTTCATATGGCATTGTGTAGAATAGCCAGGAGCAGTGTTCCCTCTAAGCTGAGTTAGTGTGAGCTAGCTCACAGTTTTTTAGCCTCCAGCTCACAGATTTTTGTCTCAGCTCAGGAAGGAGGGCTCCAGAGCAAACTACTTTATGCAGTAGCCAAATTGTTCACTCACAACTTTAATGTCAGTAGCTCACAAAGCAGAATTTTTGCTCACAAGACTCCACAGCTTAGAGGGAACATTGGCCAGGAGATCCTAAGACTGTCTGGCAGCTAGAGGTTCTAGCTCTTCTAGTGTTATGGACCACCAGGTTGCAAGCTAGACTTGTTTTTAAGAGACGTTTCAAAGGCGGTTTCACATTGCCTGCCTCTGTGTCACAGCCCTCCTATTCCTTGGAGGTCAACAGGGGTCATTTCATAGAAAAAGAGGTGCAGGAGCTCATTAGCATAATTCATTAGCATAACCAATTTGCATATGCCACACACCCTGACATCACCAGAAGTGTGTCAGAAGGCAACACCCACCACTCAGGCTCCACTGGACTCTTTTGGATTGCTATCTCACGAAGGAGGGAGAGCTTGTACCTGAATAAATCTTGGTCTTAAAGGTGCCACTGGACTGTTTTGGACTGGGGAGGGGGGCGCTCTGCAGCTTATCTGGCGGCTTCTTGCTCTGACTGAGGGCTGCTGGGAGCAGGGGGCGGGGCTTGTTGCATGTGCCTACCCCCTGGGCTATTTACTGCCGGGGCTCTGCTCCTGTGCGCTCCTGCAGGAAATGACCCCTGAGTATAAGACAATTTAGTCATGATGAAATAATCCCAAATTTTTATTAACCATCGTTGAACGGAGGAAGGTTGTCCACTTCTCTTCTTCTCTTTCTAATATTGTATTGTCTCGCTCGGCACTGAAAATAAGAATACTAAAAAAACATTTAGCTCCGAGACGCTTCAGCTCCGTTCCAAACACACACACACACACCCGCCGCCAAGCTGCTGCAGCTGGAATGAAGCCCCCACAGTGCCACTTGTTTGGAGGAGGAGAAGAGAGACCAGGGCTGGAATGCCACTCCCCAGACTGCCGGCTCATTCCCGGAGGGCAGCGTCAATCAACAGTTGGCGGCACTTTAATCACCAGCAGCCTGGGATTCCAGGCAGAAGCGTTGGGGGAACAGAGCCCAGAGTTCAGGCTTTCCAACTCTGGGTTGGGGGATTCTTGGAGATCTTCAGGGCGGACTGGGGATGGTTGGGTTTGAGGAGGAGGAGGAGGAGATTGGATTTATACCCCGTCCTTCACTACCCAAAGGAGTCTCAGAGCGGCTGACAAACTCCTTTCCCTTCCCCTCCCCACAACAGACACCCTGTGGGGGAGGTGGGGCTGAGAGAGCTCTTGACAGAAACTGCTCTTTTTCAAGAACAGCTCTGACAGAACGACAGCTTGCCCAAGGTCATCCAGCAGCTGCGAGTGGAGGAGTGGGGAATCAAACCCGTTTTCCCCAGATTAGACTCCACGCACTTAACCACTACACCAAACTGGCTCTCTACAATCTATAACTTGTTCATAACAAGGACGATCAACATCTACCCTGTTTTCCCGAAAATAAGACCTACCCCAAAAATAAGCCCTAGCAGGATTTCTATGCATTTGTGGTATAAGCCCTAGTGTGTCTTCTTGAGAAAAAATAAATATAAGACAGTGTCTTATTTTCGGGAAAACACGGTAATATAGGGTATTTAACGCAGACATTTAAAATTCAAAGCATTAGGAAGATTTTTATGTTCTGTATACATGTATGTATAGGAGCTGCGGTGGCTCAAGTGGTTAAGACGCTGAACTGCAGGCTGTGGAAGGTTGGTAGTTCAGCAGTTCGAGACCCAAATGTGCCGCATGACGGAGTGAGCTCCCGTTTCTAGTTCCAGCTCCTGCCAACCTAGCAGTTCGAAAGCAAGAAATAGCAAGTAGATAAATAGGTACCGCTTCGGTGGGAAGGTAACAGCGTTCCGTGCCACATGACCACGGAAACGTCTTCGGACAGCGCTGGCTCTTCGGCTTTGAAACGGAGATGAGCACCGCAACCCTAGAGTCGGACTAGACTGGCTTTTGAGCAAGGGAACCTTTACCTTTACACATGTATGATTAAAACCTAGCCTATATTAGCATTAGTTACTATGAATATTATCTGTTAGACACTGCTTGTTATATGATACTTTCCATTATACATATCCCCAAAACCTTGTTGGTCTCTGGAATACTACTGGACTCGAATACAGCACTTCTACTGCAAACCAACACAGCTACCCTCTGGAATTCTCTACAAGTCCACAGCTTAGAGGGAGCATTGCCTGTCAAGTAGGTGGGGCTGAGAGAGCTCTGACGGAAACTGCTCCTTTAAAGAGAGAGCTGTGCCAGAACTGTGGCTTGCCCAAGGTCATTCAGCCAGGTGCATGTGGAGGAGTGGGGAATCAAACCCGGTTCTCCCAGATTAGACAACAGACACCCTGTGAGGTCGGTGGGGCT